GGAGAGGGGCTCCCTGCTGCTCCTGCGCTACCCGGTCTGGGACCAGTCTGGCTCTGGTTCAGGCTGTTGAAGTTAAGGAATGAACTGGTACTGCCCAGCCTGCAAGCTGTAAAGCACAAAAAGAAGAGGAATCAGCACAGCCAGGTCTAGGACCTCATCCAGGCAGGGCTCCAGCAGCTCCAGACCTCCAAGTGACAGCACAAACTGGGGGGTATTTCAACTGGTTCATGCACTGCAGGGTTGGCTACAACCCCTGAAAGGCACTGGTCGCAGGGGGAACTCCAGCATCAGCATCCACGAGTTGGGACACCGATGGAAGGCAGAAAGTGGTTAGCATGGGTGGAAGTACCCTGGAGCTGCAGGGAAGGGGATGGGGAGCAGAAGAAGGGATAACACACAGTGTCATAACACATCAAGGTACCCAGGGAGCATTCACTAGCAGAGCACAGCACTCAGCTGTCCCATAACCAAGGGCTGCACAAAAGTCTCTGCCAGTTCCCCAGACGTGAGCAGACAAGGCTGAGCAGAAGAGAGAAGCTAATCCAATGTAGCTGCAGGCACAAGCCATCACGTCATGGCAGACAGAGCTGAATGTGACACCTGGGATTCCCACTGCTGAAGCCTGTCCATCACTCCCACAGACTCTCGTGCTGCCCTCTAACAACCTCCAGCACTTGGGATGAGGCTCTGCTTTGAGGAGGCAATGGCAGAACCCCCAGCAGAAGATAAATTTTAATATGTACCTAGTTGGTGAGCTTCCAAGAGATAAACAGAGATTATGGCCATGTAATAAGAGGATGCAAAGGTGCCTATCACAGTCAAAAGGACCTCATGGCCTCCCAAGTCTCAAGGTGTCACCTGAAATGGTGACATCCCCTCACTACGACCGAAGACATTACCCCAAATAAACCTCTGCGAGATGGTTTCCTGTCTGTAGCCTGCTTATGGTCACAATCGATAGTCAACATATCATTACAGTCAGGTGCCTCTACCCAAAACTATTCTCCCTGTCAGACTTTAAGCCAACCGCTGCTTCCCAACCAGCCTGTGGAAAATATCATTGCTTCAGAGACCCTGAACCCTTCAGGCATTTCCAAATCAGGCAGCTCCAGGGAGTATCCCTCTTGGGCAAACACTGGAGCCTTCACTTTTGACCCCAAAGCAACAACTAGGTCTCAGCCCCTAAGGTTATGCCCAGGCAACCAGAGTGCTGGGGAATGCCAACCACTACAGCCAGCCACCCAAAGGCCCAAAGGAGACACAGCAGACACAAAGTTCTCTCTGGTCCTTCCCACAGGGCTAGAGAAAGCGGAAGCCCACCTCTGAAAGTGGCCAGCATCTCCACTGACACACTGGCATTGGCAGCGCCGAGACTCTCCACCATGATCTGCAGCCACTTCTCCCAGGGGGGCGAATCCAGGGCCAGGCTGCAGTTTACCCTCCCCACGCAGGTGATGATCCTCTGGAAGGACTGGGGCAGCGTGATGGAGCCCAGCACCACTCGCACGGCACACGCTTTTTGCTCGCTTGTCAGGCAGTTTCGCAGCTCAAACGTCATCCCTGCAGCGTGCTTGGGAATGAAGACCCTGCAGCAGAAGAGACCAGCAGTTCACAGAGCTTGAGCTCTCAACACAAGCCAACAATGACCCACCACAGTCCCTGGGGCTTTGGGGCAAGAGCTAGGTTGCCCTGGTTGGTGTTGTGAACATTCTTTCCAAGGGAAACCTCTTCCTCAGCACAAAAAGGATCAGCAGGTCCAGAGGAGGCTTGGGGCAAGAGCTAGGTTGCCCTGGTTGGTACTGTGAATATCCTTCCCAAGGGAAACCTCTTCCTCAGCATAAGAAGGAGCAGCATGTCCAGAGGAGGGCCATGAAGATGCTTTGAGGGCTGGAGCACCTTCCCTATGAAGGCAGGCTGAGAGAGTTGGGGTTTTTCAGCCTGGAGAAGAGAAGGCTCCAGGGAAAGCATATAGAGGCCTTCCAGTAACTGAAGGGGGCCTACACGAAAGCTGAAGAAGGACTTTTTACAAGGGCATATAGTGATAGGATGAGGGGTAATGGCTTCAAACTGGAAGAGGGGAGATTTAGATGAGATATCAGGAAGAAATATTTTATTCTGAAGGTTTTAGATGAGATATCAGGAAGAAATTCTTTGTTCTGAACATGAAGATGCTCTGAGGGCTGGAGCACCTTCCCTATGAAGGTAGGCTGAGAGATTGGCTTGGAGCAACCTGGTGTGGTGGGAGGTGTCCCTGCCCAGGGCACGGGGTGGCACTGGATGATCTTTCAGGTCCCTTCCAACCCAAACCATTCTATGATTCTATGAAACATCTCAAAGAACTTCTAAGACCACGTCCCTTCCAACCCAAACCATTCTGTGAAACATCTCAAAGAACTTCTAAGACCATTGGGGGAGCACTGGACAAGGGCACTCATGTTCTCCCCGTGCAAACCCCAGCACTGCTGCAGGGACCTCAGCAAACAGGCTCAGAGACCCCCCAGCTCCAGCCCCATGGGGAAACACCAGTGGCTTCCCCTAAGAGAACCCATGGGAAATCCCACCTCCCCACGGCCCCAGGTCTTTCCATCCCCTGCCCTCACTCACTTGACGTGCAGCGGCTTGGCAGGCGAGACGACGGTCTGTGGCCTGGCAACACCAGGCTCCAGCACTGGCATATCAGCCAGCCTGAGCACAAACATATCTGCCTGGAACATATAGGGGCACGGAGTGGAGAAACCCTGCAGGAGGGGGAGAGAGCAGACGGGTCAGCTGTGGCCAGACAAACCGGGCAAAGTAGGACAGCTGAGACCCTCACCAGGAGCCTCACCTTCACTTCGATCCTGCCCGCAGCCTCCGGGAGATGGGCAGCGATGAACCAGTCTCCGGCAGCAGGGGTGGTGACGTTGACAAAGGTGGTGTTTTGCACAGCACTGCTCAGAGTGATGCTTATGCTGTAGGAAGGACGGACAGTGGCATTTGCAGGAAAACGAGTGCCCAGGGGATTAATTACAGGAGGGGCTCCGTAGCGAAAGTGCCTGCCAGAGAAACCAGACTGGGAGTAAATCGAGGGACGTAAAAACAAGAGAAAACTGGGAAACAAACTCACCAGGGGACACTCAGGTTGGCCTGGGATGGGAGAGGGAGCAGGCTGGAAAAAACCCACATTTTTAAGCGGCCCACAAGAGCCATCATTTTCATCTGATGAAGACCAGGTGCTATTAGCCGGATTTATTTAGAGATTGCTTTAACTTGGCTGCTTATTAAGATAAGGATTTCCATGGTTCCATCGAGCCTGAAAGCAAATTTCCACACTTCCTAAGGTTAAGCCCCAGCCGCAAAACGACTCCTTTTTTCATAACCATCAGCAAATTCCCCATATAGGCTAAATCGCCAAGGAAGAGCTTTCATTTTCTAAGATCTGCATCTTCCCTATTTGCCCTTTTAAGGAGGGCAGGCCGACAGATGCTCACCGTGACCGACTTGAGTACACCGGCATCTGCTTTCAGATAAGCAGCCCAATGTTTGAATTGCCAGAAAAGCAGCAGCTAATTAACACCCGGGATGTTTATTTGGGCAACCAATCTGGCATGTAATTGGCTCGCTTTTGGACTGCTGGAGCATTGCAACAGAACAATGGACAAAAAAGGTCCAGCAAACAAACCTGGCAGGTGATGGGTTATTAAGCTGTTTGAGCTTAGCTGGGCTGGTCTTCATTCCTCAGGGTATCGTTTAGCTGCTGCCTTGTCCCTCACATCCCCAAACTACTGGAAACCTTTCTGGGAAGCTCCAGAGTGACTAAGAGCACCAGTCTGTGCCCAGGACAGACCAGAGAAGCACAAGCCAAGCAGCTTCAGTCACTCCCAAGACCTCTGTGGAGTGGGTGTCAGAGATCCATGTGTCTCCATGGGCACAAGCTGGCCAAGAAACTTGGTACCCTCCTAAGATAGAGCTCAAAGTCCTGCAAGTTTTTGACCTCAAGCCCTCCAAGAGCTCAAGTACTGCTTTAAGCAGTATTTCTTTCATTGGCCTTGAGTTTGCAATCTTCTCATGCTCTTGTGCCTGCAGGACTCGGCATTCCTCTCCTATCTCTGCTCTATACACAGCCCACACCCCTCAGAAGTGTTCCCAGTCTCTTCCATTCCTCTGTACTGGGGAATTTGTCCATCTCCAATCGGTTTGAGTCCTCTCAAGCTCCTTGTAGCCCTGCCACATCCTTAGGTACCATGCACAGGAGCCTGCCAGGCACAGAAATGTCCAGAAACACCTTTGCTCATGAGCAGCAACACCAGGCTCACTGTGAAGCTCTCTCTGGTGTTTCTGAGGCATCTCTTGGACACCACATCTGATAGACAGCCCCAGACCCACCGGTAACGTGAACATGAAATGCTCCTACAGGTTTAAACACAGATTTAGTGCTAGTAGAATAAGAAACTATGTCTGCTGCAACCAGGGAGCAGATGCCCAGCCTCCTACAACCAACCAACCCCAGCCATGAGCAACAGGGACAGAAGAAGGACAGGAAGCACCATGGGCAAGCACCAGCACAGGGACATACGTACACAGTGATCTCCATGTTGGTGCACTCAGGTCCTTTCCCCCGGGATGCCTGCAGGAGCCAGCGAAGCAGCACGGTGTCTTCTGGCACATGGAAGTGGAAGAGCTTGGCGTTCCCATACCAGCTGTAGAAAGACAGCTTCTGTGCACTCTGGGAGAAGTACTCGGAGACATACAGGGAGTCTGAAAGGGAGAGAGCACAGCAGTCACTGGGGTGGATGCTGGGGACAGGCTGCAGGGCTACAGCCACCCATAGATGCTCACAGGAGTTTTAAGGTTGCTGGAGAGGAGCCCTGTGTGTCCCTGACTTCTCATCCCAGTCCTGTCAGATACTTGGCGATCCACCTTGTTCCTCCAGCCAGAACTGCCCACAGCCCTGCTACAAACCTCTCACCCGGAGCCATCACTTAAGATGCCTTAAGTATGCTCTGTGAGATGTGCTCTGAAGGTGTCAGATCACTGGAGACACCGAGGAGGAGGAAGAAAAGCTGATGGTAGAGGAAAAGGTGATGGAGTAGGCAGCAGCAAACCCTGGGATGAGCAGTGCAGAGCAGAGGGGAGCAGGTAGTGCAGGGGTGCTCTGGGCTCCAGCAGCAGTTTATGGTGCCAACAGGGAAGAGCTGTGCCCTTGTCTGTCTCTGTTGAGTGCATGGACTGATGTTATGGGTCTTACCCAGCCCAGGACACATGTACTGCACAGCACGCTGCTTCCCGTGACGCAAAGTGATGAAAACCCTAGCATCACAGATTGGTTAGAGTTGGAAGGGACCTTAAAGATCACCTAGCTCCCATATCCCCTGCCCTGGGCAGGGACACCTCCCACCAGACCAGGTTGCTCAAAGCCCCCTCCAACCTGGCCTTGAACCCCTCCAGGGATGGGGCAGCCACAGCTTCTCGGGGCAACCTGGGCCAGGCTCTCACCACCCTCACACCAAAGAATCTCTTCCTTAGATCTAGTCTAAATCTCTCCTCTTTCAGTTTAAAATGGTTATCCCTCATCCTATCCCTGATCAAGAGTCCCTCCCCAGTTTTCCTGGTGCCCCCCATTTAGGTACTGGAAGGGCTATAAGGTCACCCCGGCACCTTCTCCAGGCTGAACCCCCCCATCTCTCTCAGCCTGTCCTCAGCAGAGGGGCTCCAGCCCTTGGAGCATCTCCGTGGCTTCCTCTGGCCCCGCTCCAACAGGTCCATGTTCTTCTCATGTTGGTGGCCCCAGAGCTGGACACAGCAATGCAGGGGGGTCTCCCCAGAGCGGAGCAGAGGGGCAAAACCCCCCCCTCACCCTGCTGGCCATGCAGCTGGGGATGCAGCCCAGGATGTGGAGGGCTTTCTGGGCCACATGCTGCAAACCCAACTCTGCTTTCAGACATACTTTCCAAAGTCTAATGATTTTCCTACCTGGAAGGAAGGCTGCTGCAAGAACAGCCTTAGGGTAGGCTGAAAGCTTGTGCAAGAGGACAACAGCAAGATGTTGTCCTGCCATCAGGAGTAGCTGGACCCTCCACCCATCCCTCTGCCCAGCTATGCCTACAGATCACCCCCAGCCTGCTGACAACTTCACCTGCAAAATTATACGTTGGAGTTATTGTCAGCGAGAAACCAGCCAGACTGCAACCCGGGGAGGGAAAAGAAACATCACACCAGGGTTGGGAAGGGGGCAAAATTGCATGGAGACAGCAGAGCCAAGATCATGCTGCCCACCCAAAAACAAGGTTCATAACACTCAGCAAGGGGTAGAAGAAGATGTCTTCACCTCTCTGCCGAGTCCTCCCAGATGCTCCTTTTCCACTCTGGAATTCCCTAGAGCGGGGAGAAACCTTTCAGACACAGATTCCTCATTTCTATCAGAGAACAAAGCAGCAAGAACAAAGCAGCAAGCGCGGTTCAACTCGCCTTCCTCCAACCCTGTGCAGGGTCGTGCTGTGTGGAAGCACAGAGGACCCAACCGAGCTTAAGCAAGTTGCCAAAGAAAGAGGAAAACAGTCCTCGGGCAGGACCAGAACCTTGGGATGTACTTCCGTGCCAAGAAGAACCTAATCCTAGCAGGACCTACGATTGGTGCCCCAAAGCAGGACGCACACCAGCCTGCACCCACGGCGCTGCAAAGAGAGAGGGAAGGTAATCCTGGGTTTAATTCCCTGGCAAATTACCAAGCCGAAGCCTCGGGGCATCCTGCAAACCCAACAGGGAAAGGAGGAAACGGGAAAGCAAGAAATACCAGCCAGGCAACTCAACCAGAGGACTCACTCGAGGAGGAAGGACATGGCCACCTCGCCTCGCCGCAGGGGCTGCCCCGGCCCCGCGCCCACGGGGTCCAGCCGAGGGGGCAGCACCCTCATGCACGGGGCCAGGAGAGGCTCCAGCAGGGCAGCCAGAGGTCCACGGCCCGTGGGCAGAGCCGAGGTTACGCTGCTCTCCGGGCCAGCAAGGAGCAGAGACCACAAAAGGGGCTTTTTCAAGTAAAGGCTCCCCGGCTGCGATGCCAGCGCAGTGCGTGGGCTATCACAGAGGAGAGCTGGCTGCCAGCCCCTACGAGCCCAGTTCCTTCTCACACAGGAGCTACAGAAGGGAGCAGTCTTTAGTCGGTGGCATCTATATCCCCAGCTGCACTCTGCACACACATGGTATGTCCATTTCTGGAGGTCCACAGCCTTCCAGTACCTAAAGGGGCCCACAAGAGAGCTGAGGAGGAACTCTTTACAAGGATGTGTAGTGATAGGACGAGGGGTAATGGCTTCACACTGGAAGAGGGGAGGTTTAGATGAGATATTGGGAAGAAATTCTTTGCTGTGAGGGTGGTGAGAGCCTGGCCCAGGTTGCCCAGAGAAGCCGTGGCTGCCCCATCCCTGGAGGTGGTCAGAGAGGGGGCTTGGAGGAACCTGGTCTGGTGGAAGGTCTCCACCCATGGCAGGAGGTTGGACTAGATGATCTTTAAGGTCCCTTCCAACTCTTAACTGTGCTATGATTCTATGTTTGGGCTCAGGACAAGGGCAGATACGGACACAAAATGTGATTAGAGCTGGCCCTGCTCAACGCAACAGGTCCCACCGGACAACCTGCATGAGGAAAAGCCCTTCTGCCTTCACGTAAGCTGCTCCAACCCCACCGGCTGTCAGGCTCTGCATGGCCAACAGCCACGGTCCCCACCCTTCCAGCACGTCCTCACCAAGCTGAAGCACGATCTGTGTGGTTTTGGGGGAGGAGAGGGCAGGCAGGCTGCAAAATTAGAGACTCGAGCAATCAGCAGCGCTCTTTATTAAGGACCGGTCAATTACATGGAGCGAGCTGATGCGTAGTAAGAGGCCGAGGGTGGGCAGGCAGATCTGCGACCAGCCCAGCACCACCTGGGGCTGTACCAACAAGACACTGGCACGGACAAAGTCCGCTCATAAACAGGTTCTCATGGTGTAGCCGGCCCTGCTGCACCCAGGGAACGGGCAAGCTGCCTCCCCGGGGCTGACAAGGAAACGCCAGGGGCAGATAAACCCAACATCAGCAGAGAAAAGCCAGAAAGACAGGTCACCGCCAGTGAGGCGTGTGCTCCAGCAGCCCATGCACATCTAGAAAGCGAGCTCCAGCAGTCACTGTGCTCTCCACGTGGCTGTCCCCGTCCACCCGGCGTGCTCCCCACCAGCACAGCAACACCTGGGAAGTCCCCCTTGGCTCTCCCACCATGGCAAACCACCCTCTAAACTCAGCAAGGGAGTTGTCACACGGCCCTTGTTTCCATCCTGTCCCATATAGATTTCACAAAGTGGATTTCAAACATATTACGCCAAGAAAATATACGTTTTAAAGACAAGAAACGAAACGCGGCAGAATCACAGATGCGAAGAGGAGACGCGTTATTTGAATTTCAGAATAAAGAGCCACCTGCAAGAGCCTGGATGTGTTTATCCAAAGATGATCTCATGGTAGTTTTAGGAAATGATAGCTTGACTGCTGGTTTCGGGGCTTCCCATCAAAAGGATGAAGCCCTCGTTGCAAAGCAGATACCGTGTAAAGCTGTACCCACAGTGATCAGCCTGACTCTGGACATGATGTGGAAGGATGTTTGGCCATTTCTAATGTAACAGAAACCCTGTTCCTTTAGCCCAGGGTCAAAAATCCATCTTTAGATGTTCCAGAACGAGGACCCCTCGCTCCTCTGAGGAGGTGCTGATCTTCACCAGCTCCTAGCCCTAGCTCTGCAGAGCCATTCCCCCAGCCGGCGGGACGGCGCCGAGACAACCCAACCACCACACCTCCAGCACAGGGGAGCTCTCCGGGGCTGGGAACCCAGCTAGCAAGATGCCAGAGGAGGGTGGGCCTGGGGCAAAAGGCCACCTTCCCCCCACCGGCTCCCCAGAGCAGCCACCACGCTTTCCAGACTATGAGGAAGTGATAACCACCATCAACAGCAGATAGCCACCGCTGGCACACGCCTGACTCCGCGACGGGGTGAAGCAGGCAAACATTGTCATCTCCCCACCCTTTCCCACCACTGCACCCGCGGGGTGACCCTCCAGAGGGGGAGGCACGGTTTCCCCGGACCCCAGACCCCCAGCACCACCACAAAAGCACCACTGCTCTGCTGAAACCCCTGCCCAGCCGCTTTGATGCACTGGGAATAAAGTAACCCGAAAACAAAGCAAAACCACAACAACCACCACAAATACAGCAGGAACCCCCCTGGGTCCCGGCCTGACCTCTCACTGCTCCGCACGCCACCGCTGCCCCGCCGGGGACGCTCCACAGAGTCCCCGAATCACTCGGGAAAACATAAAGCCACCTCGAAATCATCCCCCCCCCCTCCACCCCATGGGACTCAGACCAGCTCTGGGGGCTGCGCAGCTGACAAACTGTAATGGCTTCACACTGGAAGAGGGGAGGTTTAGATGAGATATTGGGAAGAAATTCTTTGCTGTGAGGGTGGTGAGAGCCTGGCCCAGGTTGCCCAGAGAAGCCGTGGCTGCCCCATCCCTGGAGGTGGTCAGAGAGGGGGCTTGGAGGAACCTGGTCTGGTGGAAGGTCTCCACCCATGGCAGGAGGTTGGACTAGATGATCTTTAAGGTCCCTTCCAACTCTTAACTGTGCTATGATTCTATGTTTGGGCTCAGGACAAGGGCAGATACGGACACAAAATGTGATTAGAGCTGGCCCTGCTCAACGCAACAGGTCCCACCGGACAACCTGCATGAGGAAAAGCCCTTCTGCCTTCACGTAAGCTGCTCCAACCCCACCGGCTGTCAGGCTCTGCATGGCCAACAGCCACGGTCCCCACCCTTCCAGCACGTCCTCACCAAGCTGAAGCACGATCTGTGTGGTTTTGGGGGAGGAGAGGGCAGGCAGGCTGCAAAATTAGAGACTCGAGCAATCAGCAGCGCTCTTTATTAAGGACCGGTCAATTACATGGAGCGAGCTGATGCGTAGTAAGAGGCCGAGGGTGGGCAGGCAGATCTGCGACCAGCCCAGCACCACCTGGGGCTGTACCAACAAGACACTGGCACGGACAAAGTCCGCTCATAAACAGGTTCTCATGGTGTAGCCAGCCCTGCTGCACCCAGGGAACGGGCAAGCTGCCTCCCCGGGGCTGACAAGGAAACGCCAGGGGCAGATAAACCCAACATCAGCAGAGAAAAGCCAGAAAGACAGGTCACCGCCAGTGAGGCGTGTGCTCCAGCAGCCCATGCACATCTAGAAAGCGAGCTCCAGCAGTCACTGTGCTCTCCACGTGGCTGTCCCCGTCCACCCGGCGTGCTCCCCACCAGCACAGCAACACCTGGGAAGTCCCCCTTGGCTCTCCCACCATGGCAAACCACCCTCTAAACTCAGCAAGGGAGTTGTCACACGGCCCTTGTTTCCATCCTGTCCCATATAGATTTCACAAAGTGGATTTCAAACATATTACGCCAAGAAAATATACGTTTTAAAGACAAGAAACGAAACGCGGCAGAATCACAGATGCGAAGAGGAGACGCGTTATTTGAATTTCAGAATAAAGAGCCACCTGCAAGAGCCTGGATGTGTTTATCCAAAGATGATCTCATGGTAGTTTTAGGAAATGATAGCTTGACTGCTGGTTTCGGGGCTTCCCATCAAAAGGATGAAGCCCTCGTTGCAAAGCAGATACCGTGTAAAGCTGTACCCACAGTGATCAGCCTGACTCTGGACACGATGTGGAAGGATGTTTGGCCATTTCTAATGTAACAGAAACCCTGTTCCTTTAGCCCAGGGTCAAAAATCCATCTTTAGATGTTCCAGAACGAGGACCCCTCGCTCCTCTGAGGAGGTGCTGATCTTCACCTGCTCCCAGCCCTAACCCTGCAGAGGCATTCCCCCAGCCGGCGCCAAGACAACCCAACCACCACACCTTCAGCACAGGGGAGCTCTCCGGGGCTGGGAACCCAGCTAGCAAGATGCCAGAGGAGGGTGGGCCTGGGGCAAAAGGCCACCTTCCCCCCACCGGCTCCCCAGAGCAGCCACCACGCTTTCCAGACTATGAGGAAGTGATAACCACCATCAACAGCAGATAGCCACCGCTGGCACAAGCCTGATGCCGCGACGGGGTGAAGCAGGCAAACATTGTCATCTCCCCACCCTTTCCCACCACTGCACCCGCGGGGTGACCCTCCAGAGGGGGAGGCACGGTTTCCCCGGACCCCAGACCCCCAGCACCACCACAAAAGCACCACTGCTCTGCTGAAACCCCTGCCCAGCCGCTTTGATGCACTGGGAATAAAGTAACCCGAAAACAAAGCAAAACCACAACAACCACCACAAATACAGCAGGAACCCCCCTGGGTGGGAGATGGGGCTGCCCGCAGGCCGGGGGAGACTTGGGGGGCTCGGGTTGTGGGGAGCTCAGATCCTGGGGGAGCCCCAGCGCCGAACTGGGAACCCCCACAATCCTGGGGACCCCCGTGATGTTGGGGAGGTCCTGGAGCCCTATCAGCACCCCAAGACCCCTGGTAACCCCGAGGAGCCTGGTGACCCAGAGACACCAGTTGGTTCTGGGGACCCCCCTGGGGAGGTCCTGGAGCCCTATCAGCACCCCAAGACCCCAGGTAACCCCAAGGAGCCTGGTGACCCAGAGACACCAGTTGGTCCCCTGCCCCCCCCCAGGCACCGCCAAGCTGCCCCTGAGCCCATTGAGCATCCCCAAACTGACGTCGGCCACCGCCAAACTGCAGCCAGGCACCCCCAAACTGCACCCGAGTCCCCCAGGCATCACCAAACTGCCCCTGCGCACCCCCAAAGTGCTGCCACGCATCCTGGGCACCCCCAAACTGCCACCAGGCACCCCAGGCACCCCAAACTGCTCCCAAGCACCACCAAACTGACCGTTGGTTACCCCCAA